TGAGAAGTTGTAACCCAGTTATAGAGCACTTGATTATCAGTTTCCAGCACCAGCTGTGTATATTCGCGAAGAATGTAAAGAAATATCAGAAGATAATGCAGCGTTGCTATTTATTACCCTATAATTAAAGTTCTGACAGTGTTTCTATTATAAAACCTTATTTCCAAGGGTTCATAACTCAAGAGGCAATTTTTTTTTTTTCCTGCAAGACGAAGCCTCGCTTACCAGACTGAATCATTTAAAAAATATTTCAGTTAAATAAGGTTCGCCTATTAGAGAGGGTAAAATTCTCAAGGACTTTCATTAAGGTGCACATTTATATCTGCAAATCAAGAATCAAGGATATAGAAGAGGAAAATTTAAAAAAAAAAAATCAAGGATTCATGGAAAGGTTTTAATATAATTCTCTAGGAAATTATTCCCATGAAAACAATTTGTTTGAAAGAAAATGCCCTCTGGTCTTTTCCACACAAACTAGTCTTGGGCTAGTACATGAGAACCAAACTTAAAAGTGACTATGAACAGAAAGGGGACTGGCTAATTCGTTTCAACTGTCCTTACTGGAATAAAAGAGTAAACAGCCTGAACAGAGAAAGGTGAATTTAATTTTCAAGGCCCTTTAACTTTTTAATAATCTGAGGAACAGTATGGGAGGTACATTCTACCCTCCCAGTTCTCCTGATATAAATTCATTCAAGATTTATATTTGTGTAATAGAGAAGCAGAATTCGGTCCATCATTTCTAATGAACGGCTGGCTTGCTCTTGAAAAACGCAATTAGAAAAAATCTAGCCCCTTAATTCAGAACAGCTTTGAGCTAGAACAAGAGGTCTCAATGCTGCAAACACGGATGGAAGCCCGGCTGCACCGCGGCTACTCGCCGTCCCTGCAGCACGACCCGAGCGGGGCTGGGGATGCTGGAAACGGTTTGCTACAATATTCCCTAGTTATTTTAGGCTTTTCTTTTCTATGGGAAAAGACAATTCTCATCTGGAATAAACCTGTGTTTCCTGTGATCTCGAATAGTAAAGACAAAAGGACTGCAGGATTAGGTGCCTGGCCCGGTATTGATGTGGGAGGCAAGGAGCTGACTGGTGAGACTGGCAGGAGTCGGGAAAACCCATGTGGGCTTTAACCCTGCTCCGAAACGTGTATCCAAGCTCTCACAGTCACTGTGCCAACGCAGGTGAAACATCAATAAATATGAAAGTAAGTCAAGGGCTCGTTCTGTCATTTTACTCAAGATTAGCTCCCTGCATTCACCGCTTACTCATGTGTGTAGGAACAACGGGACCGAGATCCCAATTTGTCTCTCTGACCTTTTGAAGTGAAGGCTTTAAATGAAGCAGCGCGGAGCGGCTGTCTCGTTTGATCTTCAGAAACTGCGAGGCAAAACTCCTCAGGTTGCTCCAGTCTACAGTGGGCTGGTGGAGGGGGGGGAAGACTGCCATGGGGGAAATATCGCCTCCGAATACTGGGAAGTCCTACCTCACCCTCTTGACTGAGGAGCTCGACACAGGCTGGGGTGGTCCCCGACATGAGGGCAACCTGAGAGTCCTAGGAAATGTGGTAAGGACGTTTCCATCCTCACTCTAGAGCAGCTGCGTATCTTCACTATGAATGTAAAGAAATATCAGAAGATAACACAATGCTATTTATTTCCCTGCAATTAATGTTCTCACAGTGTTTCTATTATCAAACATTATTTGCAAGGGTTTGCAACTTGCAGAGAAAATTTTCTATCGAGATCACAGAATCACAGAATGGGTTGGGTTGGAAAGGACCTTAAAGATCATCGAGTTCCAACCCCCCTGCCATGGGCAGGGACACCTCCCACTAGAAGAGGAAGCCTCACTTACCAGATTGAGCTGAGTTAAAGCATCACTGGTAGATGAACCAAGGCAGAGCTCCACCTCGCCACGGAGCTGGGCGAGACCTCCTGCGGCCATGGGCCCGATCTGGGCGTGCACCGAGGACAGCAGGAGTCAACTCAAAACCACGGAGCTCTGGTGTATTGAGTGTGTTCACCACAAGCCCTAGCACAACGTTACAGCATCTCTTCTTTCCCTTTTCTTGGTTTGGAGAGTGACTCACTGTGAAACTTGAACCCATTTGCTTTAATTGTACCATGCCTCAGTTTCCCCATCAGTCAAAACAAGAGAAATTTGCTCTCATCAGTGCAAGAGGTGATAACAGTAGTGAACATCTATGATAAGAAAAGCTGGTAAGAAGTGTAAGGCAGTCCTGCTACTTGGCTCTACCAACTGTGACTTCTGCACCTATGCACGCTTTCTTGAGAAGTCCGCTTCTACTCAACCTCAACCAGATGCAAAATCACAACTCCACAGTGCTAGGAAAATATCTGAACACTTACCATTGGATCTCCCATGGGTTTTTTGATTGCTTAATGGAGTGATTTTAAAGACAGGTACCACATGCACTCTCTTACACTTTAAAAGGAAAGTACAGTGTCTTGATGGTGTCCAAAGGCATGAAGGCATGTGTGTGGAGGGCAACCAGCCTAAGCCTTTCACCGGCTGTGGACAGTGCTTGGGCAAAGGAAAGATCATAGAATCCTGGAATGGTTTGGGTTGGAAGGGACCTTAAAGATTGTCAAGTTCCACCCCCTGCCATGGGCAGGGACACCTCCCACTAGCCCAGGTTGCCCAAAGCCTCATCCAGCCTGGCCTTGAACCCCTCCAGGGATGGGGCATCCACAGCTTCTCTGGGCAACCTGGGCCACTGCCTCACTCCCCGCACAGGAAAACATTTCTTCCCAATATCTAACCTAAATCTGCCCTCTTTCAGCTTCTGCTGATGCCCACTGCCGGGCTGGGGAGAGGAGCAACCCGGCGTGATGGGAAGGAACCTGAAACCATACCTGTCTGCAAAGAAAGGTCTTCACACCGGAAGTCCTTACCAAGAGTCCTCTTCTTGCTTCTTCCCAGAGCGGAGTTGAAAATCTTGGAATTGTCGTAACGTTTTATTATCGCTTGCAAAACAGATTCGACTCCATCAGATAAAGACACAATTGCATTCATTGACTCTGACACAAGGATATGCATAGTGATAAACATACAGATAGATGTACACACTTATACATGAATGAGATATGCTAATTAAAAATTGCAGTGGGCACTTTATTAAAAATTTATTGTACAATCTACATCTTCAAAACATTTTACATCAACAAATACAGCAGCTTGACTGCTGGAATCATAAGTGATTTATCTTTAAAAGGCTGTATTTGTAACTGGATGCAGATTCTTGATGAACTGCCGTTACATTTAAACTACTGGTTTTTATTGGAAGCGTTTTGACTGTTATCTGTTTGTTCTCCATCCTTGAGAGAAATAAAACAAGTGTCTCGGCTTTCATTTTATCGGATAGATGGCACCACGTAGCATATTTCCCATGCTAGTTTTGAATTACAGCTGTTTATCTTTCAGCTTTCTTTAAGATTAATTAAATGCAAATGTAACTCCGCGAATCATGGGATTACCTGCCAGACCCCTTATTAATACCTTCACTTAAAAAACCCCTGTGCCAGAGAGTCATTAATTTGCAAAAAAAAAAAAAAAAAAAAAAAAAGTGTTAAAGCAGCCCCTTTGCCTCCAAACAACGCAGCGATGGCTGCCCAATTAGCCCGGCCGCGTTCGGATCCTCCTTTCAGGCCCTGTGGCCCTTTGAGGACACAATAAGGCTCCAATGATAACCTGGCAACCTAGGTAGAAACTCAGCCAAGTGTGAGCGTTTGAAGCTGCAGCTTGGCTGCCATCGTGTCGGCGAAAAAGAAAGAATTCAGGCACCATGTCATCCAGTACAAAGGATAAAAACAGATTCAACCGGAAATTCAATGTGGCACCACATATGGGATACATGAGTGCGGTTATACAACAGGCCACATATTTTTTTTCTTTTTTTTTTTTTTTTTTTTTACGGTTTCCTGCATGTGATGCCGAGGACATGTGTAACCATCATAACGTCTCTAAGAATCTGTATTTAATTTGAGCTGGGGTGGTGGCAGGGATTGGAGATCTGAAGCCGCCACAGGTTTGTGGCAGATGGCTCTGTGTCAGCTATGACAAGCAGCCAGGCTCGGCTTCCTCTGCAGATTTTCTTTTCTCTCTGATCAGGTAAATATGGGCACACTCTGGAAACTTCCACAATTCTGCCTGAGGCTGCAAGTTTGTGACTTAGCCCCATCTGTCACAAATCTTCCCTGGGTTCTGCTGCGAGCAAAGACCTGAATTTACCGCCGAGCGCTGCCCAAGAAAACCCAGCCGTCTCGCCCTGCGAGGAAGCACAAGAGAAAAAAACGCACGAAGGTGCATTAGATGCCGCGACACAAAAGGGATGTCTCTCGAGGGGAAAAGGAGCGCGGCTCGGTGCCGAAACGCTCTGCAACACCCGGGATTTCAGGAGCGGTGGAAGGGAGTTGGCTGGACAATGCTTACGTGGCGTTATTTGGAAACAGGGTGAATTCTGCTTTTTTTTTTTTTTTTTTTTTTTTTTTAAGACAGGTAAGCTGGTCAGCAGACCCAGGTTATTGGCTCCTGGATAAGCACCCTTTTTTTTTTTTTTTTTTAAAGTGATAGCTCTGCAGAGGTGTGAGCATTTGTTTTTTTCATGGAATATAATGTGATTCAGTCAACAGGCTCCAAATACACAAATCAAGAAGTTTTCACACAAGCAAGATCTCCCCATGCAGAACAGGCAGCATAGTAAGATGTCAGGAGCAGTACAATATGATATAATCACCATTTTTGTATCTTGTGTCCTAAGATCAGGACTGAAGTGATTAATATCTACTCTGCCGTCATTAGGCTTCAGAGTTAACCTTTAGAATTTAATAAGGAGCGTTCATCTATTCAGACCTGCTGTTTCAGGACAGTTGGAGTTCAAGCAGCCAGTACTGATTTGGCATGTATTTTATGCACTTCTAAAAAAATTACCTTAACAAAATTAAGAATTAGAGACCATTATTCAGCACAAAACCTGAGATTCAGCAGGCAAGACAGCAGAGCGATTTACAGAGCTCATTTGTATCATGTCAGCTCTACTCTGTGACCCAGCTCCTTCCCTCTGTGAGTATTGGGGAAGCATCAAGGTGGAAAGCAGCTTGTAGTTAATTACTTCTGGAGCTCAGCCTTCAAACTCTAAGCACCTTTGGAAACCGCCACCAAAAGACAGCCTTGGTTTACACCAACTGGGTGCACTGGGAGGCCTGAGTCAGAGCTACGGAACACCCCTTGGGAGGCTAACAGTATTTCCCTGAACAAACTGGGCTGTTCTGCTGTTTCTTGTATCAGCCTTTTAAAACTCATTTCATTCTTTCTGTCTTTAAACAAGAACACATCAAATGATGGATGCGAACCCATGCAAGATACCCTGGGGAGTACCTTGCATGGGGTGGTTCAGAACACACTGACCAACATTAGGAAAAGTTTCAGGCTTGCTTTCTCAAGGTAATTTGAATATAGTTTACTGAAGGAAAAAAAAAAGCTTTCATGCTTTTTGCAACTTTTCTTCCCAAGTTCATCATATTTCTTTTGACTCATTTCTCCATCTACCATTTTCCAGAGGCTGTGGTTCATCTGACAGTTTTCATTTACTTCCTAAAACTAAATGAGAAGCTATCTAATGTTGTTATAATAAAAAGGGACATGTACAGCACACTTATACATATGTCTATAGATGCATGGCTGTATAGCTCATTTCTCCCAGTGAGGATCCATGTCAGCTAGCAAACTTCACTCTACCACCACTGCTTCCAGACCCACCTGCTGCTTGAAGACCTCAGGTTGACTCAAAATGCTTCAACTGCATCCCACAGTCTAGCAGATCTTCCTACCTGTGCAAACCTCCTACGCTAGCTGGGTTTCACCTATATCAACCATATGTAGGGGAATGAAAAATGTCAAGACTTCAGTCTGACCTGGATGCAACCCTGAGCAACTTGATCCAACTTTGAAGGGAGATCCTCCTTCGAAGCTGGCCCTGCTTTGAGCAGAGTTTGACCAGATGACCTCCAGCGGTACCTTCACTACGACTCTGTGTTTTAAATAACTAACCGACGTTTTTTGTCACATAAGAAATCCTTATGTTACATACATTTTACTTAGGATCCCATGCCTAAGCACCAACACAGAGATGGGAGAGCACGGACTCAGCACGCTGCACGCCAGAGCTCCCAGCCTGCTAAAACCTTCCCATACAGGATCCAAGAAGCAGATCTAGACCATCTCTGAAACCAGTTTAAATTATGCTTACTGGAAACGGAGCATCTCAAGAGTCAAAATACAAGTTCCCCACTTGTGCTTCCAACCTCCCAATGCTAACCATTTAGAAGCCCGAATTCAACACAACGCCTTCTTTTTTTTTTCTCTGCAAACACGCTCTGCTGATGAACAGAAAAGCCAGCAGGATGGATGGAAATATTTGTACTATTTGCATACCCTATAAAGCTCTTAAATTAACTTTATCAGCTCAGGACAAAAAGATCTGGAGAACACTGTAAGCAAACATCTGCTCAATATACATTTCCCTGTTAAAAAGTAAACAGTATGTTTGGCTCCATAAGGAACAGGTTGAAAATTATCAGAGAGTACAACACATCGCATAAACTGATGGCATGGCCTAGAATACTCCGTGAAGTAATGATCCCACCAGCACAAAAACAGCTCTTGAGCATCAAAATGGCTTGAATGATGGGAGACAAGAATATAAACATGGAATAACATTCACAAGGAGAGCCCGAAAACAGCGGGATACTGTAAATGTTTGACAAATGTTGATAAAATAATGAATGGTATAGAAAAGATGGAGAGGGAGCTTCTGCTTCCAGGCGACCAACTCCAGAATAAGAAGACAATGCAGCAGAAGGTGGGGAAATCTTGAGCCAACTGAAGGAAAAGCTTTTCATGCCGTCTGTAAATGTCTGATGAACTGCTTTCCTCTAGGAAACCGTCAAAGACAAAACCAGGACCTGAATGTCCCAGGGAGATCTACTATGTACAGCCTGGCAATACTTAATATTAGAAGAAGACTATGAAAGACGATAAAATCTCCATGACCAGGGTTAGGACCAATCTCTAACTCTAAAAGACCAAAAGAAGACTTTTAATATCCTTCAGCCTTCTCCCAAGGTGGTGCTGCTCACCACCATCAAAACCACAGCACTGAACACATGGTGCGCTAATCCGGAGCATCCTTATGGAAAAACAAATTTCTCGTGGAGGTTTGCTGGGGAATGGGTAAGGTAAGGGCAGAGGCATCATCCCTGGCTCTTACATGGCCTGTACATGAACAACCACTGCTCCTTGAAACAGGGCTGACAGGACATCTGGTATGAGGCTCCCCTGCATCCTCACGAGTCCAACTCCCCGTATCCTTAGGCTCAGAATGCCTCCTGCTGCTTGCCTAGCTATGCCTAAATATTAAAGCCGGACCAGGAGCAGTTTTCCCTTTTACACGTCTTCCTGAAATACCAAAGTTACTGCTTTATCTCAAATCAGAGCAAAAAAGAGAAGGAAGAAAAGAAAAAAAAAGAAAGTTTTGTTAGAACTGCCCTATACAGCCAAATCCTGAGACTGGAAACAATTCAGATGTCTACGGTCTAACTGGGATCTTAATTTGATTTTACAGCAGTTTAATCCCTTTGAATTCAGCAGACTTCCTTCTACAGTGGTGTAAGAAAGCAAAAAAAGAAAAAAAAATCACGCCATGTGTCTTTTCATAGGCAGGTGAGCTTCTGTAGTGTGATGGAAATGAGAAGATGAGTGTCAGAAAGTGGGCCAAATTCTTTTCTCTGTTAAACAAGCATGAACGAGAGTAGGTTTTTTTTTTTTTTTTTTTTTTTTTTTTTTTTTCTGTAGGAACTGAAGCTGACAGCATGTCAACCAGCACTCATTCAGCTGGGAGGGCTGGGAGAGATTATTTAAAGTTGTCAGCTCCTTCCATGCCTGGCTTTTGGCAACTCTTCTTGTCCCTTTCCACTGTATACTCTTTATACATGCTGGTTTAAATTAAGAAACTGAAGTGAGGGAACTGAAAGGTAAACTTCAAGAAAATAATGCAGAAACAAATGCTTTGCCCTATATATATATATACACACATATATATTTAAATTTTAAATCTACTAGATAGGCAGCCTGCAAACACTGACAGGTCTGAGGGTGCACTCCAAGTGAAACCCTGTCGCTACTTGCTTCATTCGGGCTCTTTGGCAACCACAAATACCCAGGAACCAGAGAGCAACGTTTGATTCCACAGAACCGGAACAGAACAAATAATTGATAACAAATGAGGTTTGCTTCCTGCTCATCTCAATCTTCTGTTCATAACGGGTGGAAGGCAACGTCGAAACGCGAACGAGCCCGCCGTGGGTGCAGTGAGAATACGCAGGGTAAGCCATACATCATTTGGAAAGGTTTTCATAGGTGCTTACATTACAGACATTTTTAAAAGTCTGCCAGCCTGAATCTGCGAGTGAAGCTATTACAGTTTAATGCCTGGGTCTGTGCATTTTCACAGGGACACTCACCGGCTGCCCCACTGCCGTTCGTCTCCCTTTTGCCCCCAACTTTGTCAGCACACGCACTGAGGACAACCAAAGGCATAAACCGCCTGTTTAATTAGACCACTGGCTAATTATTATGGATATCCTTAGAAATAAAACCACAACAGTATGTACAAGGATAAGCCAAGGCACTTCTGATGATGATGACTTCCTGATCTACAAAGCAGAATCCCCCCCTACCCAGTTGAGAAAAGCACTCTTCGCTTGGAAAGCATTTTTACTTTCAAGACTTCACAGCTCCTTTATGAACTTGAGGCATGGAGCATGTCAGGAAGATTTCTGAAAGAAAAATAGCTAGTTAGTCTGCACTAATGCGCTGGGGTCTCTTTTCTATTCTATCATTATATACATAATATTATACTGATCTGAAAAAAAGTGAAAATGCAGTAGAAGTGCTGCATAACCTTCATGGTTTCACCCTTTTCAGCTTCCTAAACAGCGGCATCGTTCCAACTCCAACGCCATCTCTACATCCACATTTTTTCTAGGAGGGTTTGAGGATAGCTCCACTGCGGAAGGAAGACTTGGCCTCTGTGGGTGTAGGTCCAAAAGACAACTCTAACAGTATTCTCCCAGCTGATCCAAAGCCTATTAAAGACAACAGGTTTGGGATTACGCTCTCCTACGCTCGTTTTAAAACGATCCCCCATTCAGCTCCACCGCTACCTGTTGCAGACCCTCAGTCCCATCGCTCCGAAGGTCTGAACAGGGCTGCACTGGCAATAACTAGTGTATGTGTACAAGGGGTGAGATACACACCTTCAGCTTCTGCCTGCAACTCATCCCAAGAGATTTTTTTTTTTTTTTTTAAGAAAAGAAAACCAGCGTTTTGCTTATGGTGCTTGTGCACACATTCGAAACTCATGTTATTTTATTCCAGGATTTGCTCTACTGTTATTTCCGTTTTTAGTGTGCCTTGGCTCTGGTTAGGAGCTGGGGATGCACATGTTGGGAGAAGATCCACGTGAACCCAACTATGAGCTGAACTTGAAGCACTGGGAAACGTCGAAGTAAACGTTTAAGGACTGTTTTCCCTTTGAAGCCACCATGTATAACTCTACGATACTATTGACTCAAGAAGTAATGCTGAGCACTGGAAGTGTTCAGTCAGCATTTTAAACTATTATGAGCTACCTTCTGAACCATTGCCAAGTTAATAGACAATGAAAGATAATGAGCTTGAAATTGGGTGTTAAATTGCATTTTTGGTTCTCTCCCCTTTTTTTTTTTTTCTTTCTTGAAGTTTAACTGTTTCCTGCAGAACCGCCATCATCTTTGATGTATCATTATGTAAACGTCTATTTTTAGGTCACAAAAAAAGTCAAGCATGGGCTAAACCCTGGCTCCTCCTGCTCCATGTGTGCGGGAAGGGGTCGCGAGGCAGGCGACGTGCAGCGAGACCCAACGCTTTCTGGTCCCCAGAAGGAAGAAGGTGGAGGGATGAGGTTAGGTCTGCTGGCAGCATGAGCCTCCAAATTAAGGAGGAGATTATTTCTCTTGCTCATTAATAGTGTGCCTGGATGGGGAAGGCTAAGAAGACCGTATTTGTATTGCACAGGTAACACGAGGAGGCTTTCTATGCACTCCCAAGCCTTTATGGACTTTAATCCAAATTCAATTTTTTTTATTTTTTAATTTATTTTTACAATTGGAAACACCTTTGTCGTGCAGGGGTAATGTGCATCCAACCTGCCCACAGCGTAGCCAGGGCTGTAATAGTCAGAAAACACTGTAAGTTTCTATATCAGCATGTAGAAAATCGCAGTTTTTTTTTTTCTACAAGCAGCATCATGTAATAATAACTCTTCACTGGAATAATATAAAATTTAGTGCTTCGTCTACAGTTGCGTAATTAAAAAAAAAAAAAATAAGGTGTGACTCCTAGCCGTATAAATACACCTCTTGAAAATGCGAAAGTCAGTCTAGCATTGAAAACTCCATCAAGACATGAACGGAGGGTCGGCTGCTGAAGCTGTATTTTATACAAAGAACTGCAAAGAACAGGGCATGATAAACACCAGTAAATTATCCTTCCGAGAAACTTTTTAATGTTCAACACACTTTAAAAAGCAAAGAGTAAAAATAATCATAATGGTGAAAATAATTCAAATAATTCCGAAAGCAGAGAAATCTTACCTGATACCTGTCACCTGCATTTTTTGAGGACTGAAGATGAAATTAGGATAGGGAGGTAGGCTTATCCTCATTAGTATAATTGTAGGATCTTTCTTTTATTTTCCTTTTAAACTAATGAGTTGCATTAATACAGGTTCATTTTTATAAGCCTCTTGGGTCCAAACGTAAAGGACGGTCATTTTAGAAAACAATAAATTAAAAAAAAAGCATGTAGGATGCATTAAGTGCACGTATTTCATAAGACCTAGGTTAATACAACTGGCATCTAGTTTAATTAATCCTTGTTAGTGTAACGACTAATATCCCTCCCTAGCATGTTTCCTTTAAACATTAGTATGTTAATTAAATGTTGTTTTTTTTAAGGGGTTTTTTCCTTTGTACTTCAATATGGCATTATATCATGTAAAACTATTCCGAACAACTACCTTATAGAGATGTTTCCTTACAATATCTGGTCTCTTGCAGAAATTCTGAAGCCTTTTAAAAAGCTGTTCAGGTGTAGAATACAGATATTCAGCTGCAGGAAAAACAGATACATTTTTAATGAAACAAAAACCTCAAAGCACACACTCGATATTAGTCACTTTACTAATTAAAAATGCATATTGCTCTGTGCCGCCTCGTGTTTTACATTATTTAAGCATGATTTTATAAGGTTACCTCAGCTCACAAGGATGTTTAATGCTAAATAAGACTGTGTAGTTGTGCTGTTTAGACATCTCCTTTGGGTGATTAAAATACATTATTCTAATGTAACACAATGCATATGTGATACATTTAGTCATGAGGTTTTCCAAAGAACTGGGACTACAGCAGCGTGGATCCTGTACCGCAGACGCATACTATGAAGTATTAAATGGTTTAAATCATTTGGTGTGATTTTCAGGCCTCGATTTTTTTTTCCCCCCCTCCTGTATATCAAAAAAAAAAAAAAAAATCTGCAAACCATTGCAGCATCACTGACCTTTTAACAAAAAAATCTATCATTACGGGTTGTGTATGCTAACAATGAAGAATGCTATTTCAAAACTTGCTTTTGTGTTATCTTAAAAGACCAGATGGCAAATATAAACTTCGTCTAATGTATTAAAACACATAAAATTTTCCTTAACACTAACATGTTGGCTTGCCAAATAAACAATCGCTTTTGCTCAAAGTTTATTCTCAAACTTTATATATTTTAGCACGAATCACGTTATTACGTTGCAGCAAAAAAAGAACGGGCAACAACGCAGCTACCTGGAAATATCTCTGGGTACACCAAGGCATTGGGACACAGCGGGTAACAGCCGCAATACACAGCTTCCACCCTGCAGATTAGAAATAATAAATACACGAAAAAAGACATTAGTGGACCAAAAACTTGCTCTGGTGCAAGAGCGTTGAGGTTGACTACATACAGCAAGAGTGAAACATTTTTTTTTCCCTCAGCAGCACAATCCTTCTAAATGCCAAAGTTGCTCTTTTTCAAGAAAATTTTATTGATCATATGAATTACATAGAACAGAACAGCGAGCATATGTTTTGTTCGCTGAATAAATCAAAGCGCGGCTCTGCATTTTTTTTGTTTTTTAAATACTGTTTAACACATTTTATAATCAGCAGACAGACACATGTAACAACATGGTGAAGTATGGACGGCTCTTCTTAATAATGCTGCAGAAAAAACACCCAGGGCGGACGTGCACACGTCATGCACACCCAGCCACTGTCACCCGGCTCGACAGATATTCTCCTTCGACTTTCAGATGCCAAAGGTTAGAATTAAATATATCTTAGGCACAACTTGCAGCGTGCTTCGGGCTGGGCTATTTCAGCTTATGGATAATTTCCTGTATTTTTCGGGTCATATACTCTTATATTTTTTAATAACTACCGATGAGATTCCTTCGCCAAAGCGCGCAAGGCTTTGTACTTGGGGTTTGCCAAGGAACAATTTACATATTTCCTCTAACATCAAACCCAAATATTTTGTGACTGCGACACGGAGGCGCAAAGTTTTCTGGTAGAGAGTCGAAAGAAAAGCTATCCTCTTCGTGTTTGCGTGGGAATAACCGAACGGGTTAAAGGCATTGAATTTTCAGTTTATTTTTTTTGCATAATGACCATTGATCTGACATAATGTCCCTCCAAAGATACAACTGTAATTTCTGTTGGCCAGAAATTACACGGTGAAATTTAAAACACTTCTTAAAATATGTTTAGTTTATGAGAGTCTTTGAATTTCCTCCAACATGTTGACCATACGAGGACTTTATTTTTAACTTCAGTTTCTCTCGGTCCCCAGGAAAAAAATAGCTGAGATCTTGTCAATGTTCACCTTTTTCTATTTTCAGTGACAATCCAAAAGGCTTTCGCTACCTTCGTGTGCAAATCTGCTTTGGTACTTTATTACAGGCACCCAGAAGGAAGCCTTGTTTCCTTTAGATCTACTCAATTTTAAACAGAAAAAAAAAAAAAAAAAGAAATAAAATAAAGAATAACATATTCAGCTGTCATGGTAGAAAACTACACACATCCCAAAACCCAAAGATACACGTCTCTGCAAATGCGTTTGCTAAGCAATGATTGCTAGGTTTTTTCATAAACTTTTAAAATTTCTAATTTATGTTTTTTTTTTTAAATAACATATGCACTTCAGATTGCATTTTAAACATTAACAACAATTTCAAAGTGTACATCGTCTAGCACTATATTTTTTTACCAAAGGGAAATGTTTCTGATGTGTGATTTAATTGATGATTTCAGTTCTTAAATATTGTGTCATATGTCAAAGCAAATAGATTTTTAAATTTTTCTTTAATCTAGGAGGAAAAAAAAAGAGTGAAACTGTGGACATTTCAGTAATAGCTCAGATCACTAAGTTATGTTAAAATATTTGCTTTTTAATCATATCTTCTGCAGAGAAAAAAAAAAAAAAAAAAAAGAACAGCTTCCTAAAACAAAACTGGAGGCCAAGATGCAATCTGAGTCATCATTTGAGTTCACAATTTCTCCTTATGAAAACCCCGGGCAGGATCGTGAATTAGTAAAACCAGAATTTAACGCCTCTGTAGTTTGCCGGATAAAAGTTAAAATTTGGAATTCTTTCATTTGCAAATGATCTCATTTGCATCCTTATTTTCCACCTTTCCAGCCCCAAAGTTTACACCATGACAGGTCCTTACCGTGGTGCAAGAACTCTCGCTATAGACCCTACACCTTTCGGATGCCAAGACCTATAGACAAACCAAACTGGGCAGAGCATCCTCGAAGATCTTCAGCCCGACGACAGATGGGGAAGCTTTGCAGCTTCCCCCCATTTCTGTCCTTTTTCCAGAAAAGTATCATATCATAACAATAATACAATTATTCTTCATTTCAATCCTTAAGCACTACTAGCTAAATAATAAATAGAGTTCCGATTGATCTATTGTTAAAATGGCTAGTAAATGACCTTTTTATTCCAATTAACAAATCATCTGCTAAATCTATGAATCTTAATATTCAGATCTATTCACTTCAATTCATACAATTTATCTGCAAATAGTTGTTGGGCTTTTGATTCTAAATATAATTAGCTGATAATTTTGCTTGGCTGAATTACTTTTCTGGAGGGCCTGCTAAGGCTCTCAGTCGCATTATCTAGCAATAATGAATCTGATAGGTGAAATTTTTTACTGTAATGAGGATGAGACACAGTTGTGACACCTGAGTCTAGTAATAACAGAAGACTGCTAATTATCGACAGCACTTTTTTTGTGTGATGCACAGAGAAGAAAAAAATCCCTCATTATTAAAAAATAAAAAGTTACAATTAGAAGTGACACCGGAGGAGAGTAAATAAAATGGAGTGATTAAAACATTGCTGCTTTAAGGGTGTTTTTAATTAAGTGGAAATGCTAATGTTGTCATACTTAGCAGATGGGATTAAAATTAGTTATTGTAAGTAACTCATATTTTATGTTATGGTTTCCACAGCATGTCTACAAGATCTAAGAAAGTGATACATTCCATAAGACATTTAAAAAATGAAATTCTCATAGTCTTTACAGCTCATAATAATGAACATCATGAATAAACTATTGGAAAAAAAAAACCAACAAAAAAACCCTAAACCCAACCCTGCCAAGGATTTTACCAGAGTGACTTAACTCGCATGGAATGTAACCATCACGTACTGGGCTGCTGGGATCGCGCTGCTGGCCTGCCTTTGTCTTTTGCTGATCATTGCATTTCTGATTTCCTTCGCACTCTAACGATAACAGAAGTTTGGTGTTTGGGCAGGCATCCAACATCAAGCG